GTTTGTTTCTCTGGATTATTGGAGGCATCTAAGGATAGTGGGTCTTTAGCCAACCAATAATCAAAAAAAGGCTCCTCCAAAGGAGATTATTAGATTACACTAATCTGGCTTATAGATTACGATAATCTATCATAATAATCTATTTGTTTGTTTGAACTTACTCCTTATAATACAGATTATAATAATTCTAAGATGAATCAAATAGGGTTAAGTCACTTGATTGGTGGTTGGGTCGTGGAATATCTGGAGTGACTAGGAACGGGAGAGCCACAGAAGATAAAGAAGGCATGCCAAGGATAGCTCATCGTCGTTCGTCTTACAGAAGAGTGGCAGAACCGAGGAGACATATCTAGGTGGCCTTACACGTACGCTTGCATGAGCTCGCGATGGGTTGGAGAAGCGTGCCGCAAGGGGGAGAAGATAAGGTTGTTGCATTGTACGAATCTTTGCACAATCTAAGCCATTTAAAAGTGAACGGAATTTGTGGTTATATATTTTCAGGTGACTGAAAATTAAACATCTTTTTTTCCAACTTTTTCCCCCCATTTTCGCTTGGGAAAAAAATATGCATCTTATATCGATATATATGTGAATTATACCACGTGCATGCAAGAGGCCATCACTTTCAGTCAGACACACTCTGCAAGAGTTAAGAGAGATGGAGGTAGGTATCAGAATTCTGGAACACATAATTAACTAGGGTGAATTCAGGCATTGATAATAATAAGATCCACGGTGCACGTCAAACACCGTCTTGATCTTGTGACACAGAGCATCATCAGATTCTTTCGCTGCAGCCTGCATGTACATATGTGCTACATGGCTAGCAAGCTAAGTGCACGCTGATCAGTACTAATTCCGTGAGTCCGTGGTCCAGTTCGTGCCAATTCTTCCCACGAATCAAATGGTGTTTACCGCACATATACTACGCCCAACTGCATATCAGATAAGCTAGATATTTCAGACAAAGGAACAAAGCTCAAGCCCGGCAGCTAGCTTCCTGTTCGTACTCAGCGGTAGTAGACTAGTAGTAAGTTGTACGTAGCTATAGAGCTTACCTACAGCTAAACTAATAAGGCCATTCCCAACCCCAGACACTAAACATAGTTTACATAAACTCCACATCATCAAGAAATTAGTACTAGACACCACTCTCCCAATGCAAACACCACTATTCCATACCTAAATTTAATGCTATTTATCTCACATAATGTATTGGATGTTGTGTAGAAACCACGTCTCATGCAAGACATGGTTTCCTTCTCTTTCCTTATTTATTCACTTGTCACATCATTTTTCATCCTAGGTGACAACTTATTTAATGCTATGTACACCATCCTAGTCATTGGGTTGAGAATGACCTCATGAAGCTGACATGTGGTCCCGGTTTGAGCTTTTGCCTGCATCTGCTACGTACGACGGCAAAACTGCTGACATGCAGCAGCAGTCACGAGGAATCTCCGGGTTGTTACTACTCTCAACAGTGTCACGCAGATGCAGGGCAGGCAGGCAGCTAGCCATGCGTGCGCACATGAGCTCATTCACTCTCGCTCTCGTCGCGCGCGCAGATGCATCGATCCATCCATCCGTTTGTTCGTGATCGGGCGTGGTACGGTGGACAAACGTGAGTGGAGACGATCCGGTCGGTGGGGGCGCCGCGCGCGGCCGCGGGGGCCTCTCTCCAACGGCCGGTGAGTACGTACGTACGAGCCCCGCGGTTCACGGGAGATCGTACGCGCGTTGCAGCGCGTACGTACTCCTCCGGCCCGCCACGGCCGGTGTCACGTAAACTCCGTGCATTTAATCGCTCGCGTCGCGGACCGCAGATCGTCCGTGCAGTCATGCTGGTTTTTTCCCCTATATTTTGATTGTTCTATAAATTTATTTTACAAATAGATTCTTAAACTAACTTGATCTTGGAATGACTCGATGACTGTAGCGTCGAGGTCGAGATCTTAACATCTCAGCACTCAGCGCTAATGACACTGGCAGCCAACATCATCACGTCCCAAACAGTCAAGATGTATAGAGTGGTCAATGTCAACAAAACTGGCACCGAGGATCTATTCAAAAAATATTGTTTCAAAAATAGTTTAAATTGTAAATATTTTTTCTTATAGATAGGTTCTCAGCCGTGGGTATCAAGAAAAAACAATTTATTTCTAAAATAAGTTTTTTCAAAGGGTTATTTATAAGATAAAATATTAAAATAGCTAAAATGTAAAAAGAAAATTACAGTGCCGTCATGCGCGGGAGCCGAACTGAAATCTCCCCATGATACATGGGAGCGGAGCCGTATACCACTGTAGGTGGGCGTGTACTACGCGCAGCTGATGCCGGTGTGTGCACCGCGCATCATATCATGTGTGTGACGCATTGAACGCGAGCCGTGCGCGCGGGGGACAGATCACAGCTGATCGATCGCTGTAGCGAGTAGTAGTGTTGTGTGATCAGTAGGGCCGGAAATGAATGCTTCGATCTGCTTCTGTTTTGGTGTACAGAATACACGTACAACAATGTGTTTTTGGGTGGGGTCTGCCAATTGGCATCTTTCTTTCTTTCTTTCTTTCTTCCTTTTACTGCTACAGAGAGGCATAAATACACACACATCATGCATGCATGTATGTGTGTGTATGCATGCAGACATCCGTACGTAGATACTCCCTCGTTTTAAAATGTTTAACACCGTTGATTTTTTAAGCACATGTTTGACCGTTCGTCTTATTCAGAAAAATTTATGAAATATGTAAAACTATATGTGTACATGAAAGTATATTTAACAATAAATCAAATGATATGAAAAGAATTAATAATTACTTAAAGTTTTTAAATAAGACGAATGATCAAACATGTACTAAAAAAGTCAACGGCGTCAAATATTTTGAAACAAAGGAAGTATATTTATAAGTCGTACTATAAATTCTTCTGATCCCTACTTCAAGCTTGCGTGATGATAGGCTCACACCTCCCTTGGAATTGTATGTTTGAAATCTACCAAAAACATCCTCTGTCATTACAACTGTGGTAATAATGGATCGTCCTAACTGAGATTAATTATAGCGCAACATTGGTTCACTAGAGTATGCCAGTTCTTAAAAAAAAACCGATATCTATAGTATTTACCCAAATACCTCCCAGATAATAGGTACCGGTTTTAATAGGTATAGGTGCTGATTTTATGAGTGTTGGTACCGGTTATTGAAAAACCGATATTTATAAAACTTAATAGGTGCCGGTTTTAAGTAAATACCCGACACATTCTAATTTATAGGTGCTGGGTGGATAGCATAACCGGCACAGTTCGGATTTATAGGTGATGGTTGTAGTATAATAACCGGTACTTATAGTTTTATAAGTATCGTATTTTAAACCGGCACCTATGCTATTAGGCATTAGTACTCTTAAATTGGTTCCGACTGAGAAACCAACGCCTACAACTGGTTAATAAGCAGAACCAATAAAAGTTTCTGCAGTAGTTCTACCACTTTATGATCCTATATCTGAATTCTTGTTTTGGATCTAATTGCTATAAAGTAGTGGCAGCACCACCGATATTAACACAGGTAGTGAAGAAATCTTATTACCTTCATTCTAAAATGTATCTATTTTTAGCTATGAGACAGATGTAGTAATGTATAACTATTGGAATTTTATCCCGATGGTTTCCAACAACTAGCAATGACACAGACCGACATTGGCACGCAAATTAACATGCACTTAACTAAAGGCATATCGAGGATATGGTTATGTAGATAGCCTTAAAAAATCATAACGACATTGGGTAATTAACTAAGAAGATGATTTGCTTGATTAACTTTAAACAAATGCACTCTTATTCTATGGCAAATTAAGAACAAATGGAAATATTCGAAGTGTAAGCCTACTATTCTATTATAAGCAACTTATATGTCACAAGTGCCATCTATCAATCAATTTGGTCGAATTGTTAGTGTGTGTGTGTGTGTGTCTACGCGCTGCAGAGCAGCATACCTGGTCTATAAAATTCTTCAGCTGAATAGTTTCCAGTGCTTGGACGCGTAAGTTTAGATCCATACAAAGAGTCGTTTTCCAGTTGCAACAATGAGGATATTAAATAGAATGGACCCTCTCTCTAATTACTAAACTAGTTGTAGCTTTGTTCCATGTAGGGCCCAACGCGAACTGACCAAATCATTTCACCATGATATGCCCCGTGATCTCTCTATCTCTCTCTCCCTCTCTCTAAAATAATCGGGTTACATTTTCTTTTTTGAAAACGGATTACAAAAATTTAATATGTGCATAAAATTCCTTAGCGTACATATTTACACGCAACTGTACAGTGCACCGGTTCAACCGTACGTCGATCTGCGTCATCCTCCATGAGGTTATGATACTTAATTATGATCGAACTCCTGTTTTGCCTCCATACTTTCTTTCTTTAAAAGGTAATCTATAGAAAAGTTTTTTATATTCACAATTTTATACTAGCTAGCTATGTGCAACACAATACAGGTAGATGTACACTCACACGAGCATGTGTGTTTTGTAGGAGGCTAGGATCAGTATGTTGTTATATTTAACTCATATATTTTTTATCGTTCTCTGAATTAAGTTTTTTTTCCAAAGAAAATCGAATAAATTACAATCACGACAACCCATGTCTCCTTTTGTAAATACGACAAAGCTATCTTTTAGAGAGAAGCAAAATTACTCTATCATAGACAGCTTAAATCATTGCAGAAAAAATGAGAGATAATTCAGATGAGGTAATAAGAATGATTTTGAAGTCCGAATGGGCTATCAGACTTGTAAAAAACGGGGGCCACTAGATGTCATTTTAACCTTTAATTTGGCGTGTTGACAATTATACATTATTTTACAGGCATTATATATTTTTACCAAGCAGAGTAATTATAAAATATTGTTCATAATGTGACATGCTAGCGATCTTGATAATTACTAGTTACTATATAGACAAATATATGAATAGCTGGCCATCCAGAACAATCCAAGAAACCACTACATAATTCCCTCTATAATTAGTGACTTGTAACCTCTTCTTCCCTTCCCCTTCCCCTCCCCTAGCATTCCCCATCTATCCTCTCCTCGCTTTCCCAACTGCTCCCTGATCTGCTAGTTCATCGATCCTAGATAAAATTCTCTTGTAGACAATCAAGCAGAAATCTCCGCAGCTTGAATCTTGAATTCAAGCTGGCTCCTAGCTAGCTAGAACCGCATGCCATCTCGATCGGCTAATTATTCCTAGCTTCTGGTTAATTAGCTACCATAACAGTGCTCTCAGATCTCGATATATCCTTCTTTGTAGATGGTAAGTACATGGGAGATCGAAGAATTCATTAGTTTCTTGCCATTTTTTCCCCAGCTAGATAGTACAAACCATCTACAGTTGCATCTCTGCTCGATCGATCCTTCACTGAAATATTCCTTGTACTAGATCACTGGCCAGCTTCTCTTTCTCTCCATTCCCTCCCTTGGATCCATGTTGTTCCCAAAGTTCTAATGGAATTTGGCTTAGCTAGGTAGCAGTATATAGCTAGCAGCGGCAGCTTGGGATGAGAGTATGAGACCACGTGTGGCGCCTCCGAGCAACAAGTGCACAGCCCTCTATATATGCCTTGTACAAGCACCAAATCCGTGCCTCAAACCGCTCAAAGTGTACTAGCTCTGCGTCTCCGCTGTTTTCTAATCGCGTCTCTGCACTGCTTGCGCCGCGCTGGTGCCACCACTACATGATGCAGTTCACGCACACCGCGCCACCTCCACCGCCTCTGCACCCTAATGGGCATGGACTAGGGTTAGGGTTGTACCTTGACGTCGGCGCGACGAGGGGAGGAGGAGGAGCGCGGCCGTGGTCGTCGTCGTCGTCGACGACGACGTTGGGTGGGAGCGGCTACTTCCCGTCGTCGGCGGCGGCGTCGAAGATCTCGTTGGGGAACCTCAACAGCACGGGCTGCATGGAGCAGCTGCTGGTGCACTGCGCCAACGCCATCGAGGCCAACGACGCCACGCTGACGCAGCAGATCCTGTGGGTGCTCAACAACATCGCGCCGGCGGACGGGGACTCCAACCAGCGGCTCACAGCGGCGTTCCTGTGCGCGCTCGTGTCGCGGGCGTCCAGGACCGGGGCGTGCAAGGCGGTGACCGCGGCGGTAGCGGACGCCGTCGAGTCGGCGGCGCTCCACGTGCACCGGTTCACGGCCGTCGAGCTCGCCAGCTTCATCGACCTCACGCCGTGGCACCGGTTCGGGTACACGGCGGCCAACGCCGCCATCGTCGAGGCCGTCGAGGGGTTCCCCGTCGTGCACATCGTCGACCTCAGCACGACGCACTGCATGCAGATCCCGACGCTCATCGACATGCTCGCCGGCCGCGCCGAGGGGCCCCCGATCCTCCGCCTCACCGTCGCCGACGTCGCGCCCAGCGCGCCGCCGCCGGCGCTCGACATGCCCTACGAGGAGCTGGGCGCGAAGCTGGTCAACTTCGCGCGGTCCCGCAACATGTCCATGGACTTCCGGGTGGTGCCCACCTCGCCGGCCGACGCGCTCACGTCCCTCGTCGACCAGCTCCGGGTGCAGCAGCTCGTCTCCGACGGCGGCGAGGCGCTGGTCGTGAACTGCCACATGCTCCTCCACACCGTCCCGGACGAGACGGCCGGCTCGGTCAGCCTGACGACGGCGCAGCCGCCGGTGTCCCTCCGTACCATGCTCCTCAAATCTCTCCGGGCGCTCGACCCGACGCTGGTGGTGGTGGTGGACGAGGACGCCGACTTCACCGCGGGCGACGTGGTGGGGCGGCTGCGTGCGGCGTTCAACTTCCTGTGGATCCCGTACGACGCCGTGGACACGTTCCTCCCCAAGGGGAGCGAGCAGCGGCGGTGGTATGAGGCGGAGGTGGGGTGGAAGGTGGAGAACGTGCTGGCGCAGGAAGGGGTGGAGAGGGTGGAGCGGCAGGAGGACAGGACGAGGTGGGGCCAGCGGATGCGCGCCGCCGGGTTCCGCGCGGCGGCGTTCGGCGAGGAGGCCGCCGGCGAGGTGAAGGCGATGCTGAACGACCACGCGGCCGGGTGGGGGATGAAGCGGGAGGACGACGACCTCGTGCTCACGTGGAAGGGGCACAACGTCGTGTTCGCCTCGGCATGGGCGCCGTCCTGATCAGCTCGGGACGCCGCGCGCGTGGACGGCATGCCGCATGTGTACGGCCGGCGACAAGGTGAGTGGCCGTGTAGGCGTGTGTGCGTGCCTACTTTTGCATGGATATTTGGATTTAGGGTTTGTTTTTGTGTATGCTCATTGTGGAAAGATGGTCTTGTTAAGTTGGCTTTTACCTGTTGATTTTGCTTAGACGATTCGTCGTTTTGATCATGTAATGAGAATCTCTCTCTAGTTCTTACTCTAGAATGAATGAATGAAGAAAAAAAACTTGCAATCATGCATGCTCCTGAAAATTTGATAAGAAATATATGTCATTTTTTTTATATGGTCGAGGACAACTTTTCAGATCATGTCACTATAATGTACAGCTTGGAAGATAATCTTTGGATGGCTTTGTCCAATTCGATATGTTCTCTTCAAACAATTCATGAATTCATCAATGCTCTCAAAAGAAATTTTCTAAAAGCTCTTGCTAATGGTTTTTTTTTCATGCTATCTCTTGTTGCAATTGGTGCTTCTATTACCTCCATCCCAAATATAAAACTTATGGCTATATATATGTGAACAATTGTTTGTCTAGTCCAGAATCAACTATATTTAGGACGAAGGTATAGTATACTCCTTCAGAAACAAGTAAGAAATGCCCGTGGTACGTACGGTACCCCTAGCCCTTATTAGCATAAGCGCAGTGGTAGTAGCTACTAACACAAATTAAAGAGTTGATCAGCCTATGCTTGAATTTATGCTCTCCTGTTTTGAGAGACCACGTGATGATGCATAGGAATATATATCTACTCAGACAAATTAAGATGTAGCAAGAAAGTGCATTCTCAGCTTCGTTGTGAGTTGTGACTTTGCTAGCTAGTCTGGCAAAACTGCATATATGGGGATATAATTGATCTTCCATATTTCTACAATAATTTGAACAAGTATCCACAAATCTGGTGCAAATTAAGCAGACATCTACCCATTCTAGCACATATATGCATGGCAAGTGGCAAAACAAAACTGCAAACCATTTCTGAGTGCTTCATGCATATATTGAATATTCAATTATCACTCCATTTCTCAATATATATAAAAATCATGTTTACCTCATATTATTCCATAACTTTGCTATGAGCAACAAAGTTAGCTAGCAGATGGAGCATATAGTTATCAAACTATATATGTTTAGCTAGACTGATTAGAATGCATGCATGTAAGTTAGTACTGAGACTAATCATAAGTTCCTCTTGCTTGTTGTCCGCCTTTAAAACTTATTTATGCTTTACCCATATAACAGGAGAGTCTTATATACTCGTGCTTGTGACTTGTAGAGGCCGTGTTTAATATAATCCATTATCTAAAAAATAAGTTCGTATATGGTTTACTTTAATTTGTAGTCCTCTTAAAACAACTAGTAATTAAAGAATTAAATTCCCTCATGTCATAATAACATGTTGTTTTGGACTTAATTTGTACTTTTATAATTTTAAGAATCATTATCCTCTGTATACTTAGTTGTATAAATAATAGAAATCATCATATATATGTGTGTATAAATTTTCTTCAGAAGGTATTATAATTTTATTGAACTTTACAAATATATTTTGATAGAAAATAGTGGTCAAAGTTTCATCTCAAATACCGTGTAAATTAGAATGTCCAAATGCCAATTTGTCATGACCAATTAATGGAAGTAGTAGCAACTTTAGATCAAATCTAGAGAATTAGCAATAATTACTTTCATTTTTGCTGCGGTTTGAAAAGCAAAACTCAAATCGATCCCAAAAGAGACTTAGCATGTTTAATTATCCCCCATGCATCTATGCTTATCAAGATATCCTTCCTATTCTATATATGTTCGATCGAAAGGCGATCAATTTCAGCTGTCTGGAACAAGCTAGCTAGTACTCTAATCGAATATTTACTTTCATTTGATGCAGTTGTGCTATTAGATATCTTCTATGAGCTTCATCGGCAGCCACAGAAAGAAAAAAAAAACTTCTCGTACGGGTATTTGATCAGTACGTACGTCTCACTTCCAAGAGTGCATCAAGAAACAGATACATATAAGTGTTTCTCTTTCAAGATTTACAAAGTTTCCTGTAAACTAAACGATTTTTTTTTTCGGTTTGCTACTGTGTAATTGATACTCTATGAACAACCAGCCGGACAAAGGGTGTATGTTATAGTTGATGTATGGTGTGTGTTGAACTACCAAAATTAATCCAAGATACGATAATGTGGAAAAACAAATATCCATTTTAAATATGTTGCCAACCGATCGAGAATATCCGCGCATAAACTAGCTAGTGTGTCAATATAATGTAGGTAGAAATTGAAGAGAAGTACTACTTGGAGAGAAAACTGAATAAATATGGTGAAAATAAAGTCACCGAGGCCTTGTTTCTTTTAGCTTGGGATTATTATAATCCAGATTATTGGGAGTAAAATGAAAGAAACAGACAACTTATTGAAGTAGCTTATTATAATCTGGAGCTAACTTATTATAATCTGATAAGCTCATTTAGGTGAGCTTTTTCCAGATTATTGAGTGAAAAATTACCCACCATGCCACCCCACTTCCTCTTTAGACTTGCAAACCCAATAATCTAGACTCTAATAATCTAGAAAAGAAACAACTAACTGCTTATTCTACTACAGATTATTACAATCTAGCTTATAGTAATCTGACTCAATAATCTAGATTATAATAATCCCAAACTGAAAAAAACAGGGCCTGATTCAGCTGGTTTCGACTTTCGAGCACGCATAGCTAGCCATGGATCGCGTACTGAACTAGAGACGCAGAATCCATGTATACTCCAGATTGTCTCGAGTTCTTTTTTTTTTTAGAAAGTTCTAATTCACCCCAGCAAATCGATATGTGGCTCTGCGCATATCAGTGTATGCACATTGGTGAAATGGCAATCTAGGTCATTCGATATTAATTCCGATTCGTAATTACTAGTAGCCTAGTACCCCAATTTCTATCCCCAACTACTAACGCATTACGATTTGACAAAAATGAATTCAGACGATCAATCGAAACCCCTAGTTCTCCTGAATATAGTTGGATATATATCGAAGCAAATTGTATGAAGGGTGTGGAGAGTCCTGACCCGATTCAGCATGGTGTAGCCGGCCAGTGCGGGAGGAGCGTCGCGTACGTGCGAATGTGCGATCGACGGGCGGCCGGTGGATGGAGAAGAAGTATCTCGCCGCCGCGCTGCAACGAACGGCTGGCCGCCGCCCCCAGTCCTCCGGTGAACGGCATCGACGACGACGACGAGCCGACGAAGTGAGGCGAGCGACGGGGGATCGGCCGGCTGGCGGCTGCCTGGGAATTCCTCGATGCTTCGCTCGACTCGGGGTCATTTTCTTGGGCCAAAATGGATCGGAGCCCATTGTGACCCAAGCAACAAACTTGGGCCAAACCCATACATAATATAGGAAAAAGTACACCGAAGGTCCCTTAACTTGTCATCGAGTTACAAAATTGTCCCCCAACCACAAAACCAGATATCCGGCGTCCCTCAACTTACAAAACCGTTCATTTTAGATCCTTCGGTGGTTTTGACCGCCGGTTTTATCCTATGTGGCGGCTGAGTCAGTGTGGGACCCACGTGTCAGCATTGCCACATCAGCTTCCTCTCTCTTTTCCCCTCTTCTCACCCTTCTCATCTCTCTCTCTCTCCCTTCTCTGCGAGGCCAGCAGTGCGAGGCGGGAGAGGAGGAGGGCGTCGGCGGCCGACGACGGGCGACGCAATGGCGGTGGGGAGAGGAGCTGCGCGGCATTCAGCGGGGGAGGGGCGGCGCGAGCGACGGGCGGCGGGGGAGGGGAGGCTAGAATAAATGGTTTTATAAGTTGAGGGACGTTGGATATCTGGTTTTATGGTTGGGGGACAATTTTGTAACTCGATGACAAGTTGAGGGACCGTCGGTGTACTTTTTCCCATACCTATACATCCCGCGTTTTAGTGGTAAACTGGGCCGCACCTGCACAGCACGGCGGCCCGTTAGTCACGGCTGCTTTATCGAGCCGTCCCGTGCCGTGCCGGAACGGGCACGATGGTGGCACGTGGGCCGGTGTGCCGAGCAGGCCGTGCCGTACCGCGGGCCGGTCCAGGCACGGCACGGCCCACGCGCCATCGTGCCCGGGACAGCACGGCTGGGCTCGGTCCATTTATCCACCGACTCCGCGGACGCTGAGGCTGCGTGCGTCGCGGCCTCCGCTACCCGACGACGCCGCCGCGGCCCGCGTCATCTCCTTGGCTCGCCGCCTGCGCCGTCGTCGCGCCGGTCTCCGTCGCCGGGCGCCCTGCTGCTTCCATCGCATACTCTCGCCTCTGACCCCGAGTCCATCTCCCCGTCCCGGCGTCGCCTCGGCCTCGACTCCCGTCTCCTCGAGGAGTTCGCCCCGTCGCCTGCGGCCGATCTCCATCCATCCCGCGAGCGGCGGTGCGGTGTTCCTGCTGCTTCCGCCTCCGGTGAGCACCGGCGCCGACGCGCATCCTCTCTCATTCTCATCCTTCTCTACCCCACACCTCCTCTCTTTGCCTTAACTTTGATCTTCTCTTCTCGATCTGGAAGCTAGGTTTTCTCTTTGTCTTAACCTTAGGACTAATAACAGTTTTTTCCCCCCAAAAAAATTGGGGGGTCCGCCCCTTGCTGTTGATTTTTCTAGGGCGGGAGAGGGAGGAGCGGGTGACCATGGTGAGCATGGAGGTCACCGATGAGATGTTCAAGTGCATGGAGGTTGGGCTGGCCTTCCGGGACTATGTAAGATTCTGCTGTTACACGGTGTTTTTTGCTTCTATCGACTACTGGAATTGGTGTTTCCCTTTTGCTTTGCTTGTGCCATTTTCTTCTAAGTGTTACATGGGTTATCATTGCTGTCATGGCTCTTAGGTGATGTATCGATGAATCGAAAGGCGTTGCTTGTCGAATATATCAACTTTAGTTTAGTTTAGTGGATGAATTTTAATAGAAGGGGCTTAAGGTTTCATTGGATTGGAGTGCCTAGTGAGTTCATTCATAATCGATGTCACTCCATGGACACTTGTGGTGGTAGAGGACATGTTCTTGAACAATATATGCTATTACGGGCAATTATTTTGAACTAAATATGAAGATGCCATATTTAGAGATGGCATGTTGGTATTTGTGAATTATACTAGTTCAAATAGTTTGCCATACATTCTACCTTTGATACAAAACAGTGCAACCCTCTAGTTGGTTCCATCTTAAGAGGAACAGAAACTAAATAAAGAAATAGCCATAATGGTGTTCGCTTACTTAACCCCTGAAATCCTGAATTAGAAAAAAAAACTAAATAACCCCCTAAGGTGCTTACGTGGAACACCACGGAACTGAAACAATTCTCTCTTTTTTTTTTCTTTCATTTGCCTTCTCTTATCCTACTTTTCTATTCACCCCTTTTCTCTCTGATATAGCAGCTTTAGAATTTGATTACAACTTACTAGCTAAATCCTAGCTTTTTAGGGATAAAACAAAATGTTACATAATATTATTTCCTGAAATAAACAACATTAATTTGTTTTTTACTATATGTAGTGCTCGCCTTGATTATTTATGTGGCAACCCAATAACATTGCTGCAATATGAAGAGGTGTGGTGGCAGATTCATTGCCACAACCACCATCGCATCTTTCAAATGGAGTATAGATTTGTTGAAGCATTGACACATTAGCTGCTATGGTGGCAAAAGGCATGTGTAAAACCTTATCGGGTTTATTTAGATGGTATTAGATAGTTCATGGGGTTATCTAGACACTTTCGCAGTCAGAGGGCTAAGTAGATCAACCCTGACAGCTAAGTGGTAGCTTGGACTGGAAACTTTTTTTGCATGTAATAAGTCCTGTAAACAATGTTAACCAATCGAAAAGATATCAGTTTATCTCTTGGTGTACTTAATATATTTACATTTCATATCGTGAGATATTAGCAATTCATAAAGTGTGAGTGAAACTAAACAGAGAATGTGAAGAACAAAGAAATTCATCTAGTCTAACTGTAGAGCATGCTACTGTTGTTTAATTCGGGCCTTTCACCCATCATGTACAATCACACCTGTCAGTTTCTTGGCTGCTCTTTCTTCAATAATTCCTTGCGGGTATGTTGGTCGGGATGTCAATTAGCAATCTCAATGTGTACTCTGAAAATTAATGTATATTCAGTACATATTCTTTGATGAACCATTTGTACATATTTCACTTTACATTAGAATGTTGCCTAGTATCTACTGACTTAGTTAAAATATTCTCTGCACTGGCCATTTCATTCTTCTTATGGGGCTTATTTGTATTTCAGAATGGAAGAATCAGTTCTATGGATTTCCACAGCAAGGCTACAAATTACCTCGTGACAGCATGTGATGATGAATCAATTCGCCTATATGACATTCAAAATGCTGTGTGAGTATAAACAATTAATCTCAATGTTCTTTTTTGTGTCTCCAATTGTGTAAACAGTTTGAACAGCTCTTACTTTCATCCCCTCTGTTGATTTTTATAAGGTGTATTTTTATTTCAAAACTCAAGTTTGTTGATTTTGATCAAGGATTTATCAAGTTACAAGTACATTTAGTGTAAAAGCCAATATAGACACATTTCAAAGCTCTTTTGCTCAATATTTTTTATGGATACCTAGAATATATTTTATGAGAAAACAACGGTCAAAATTTAATCTTGAGGACTCTTTAAAATTAGAATAAGCCTTATAAAAATCAAAGAAGGTAGTAATTGCCCTTTTTGCATTTAGTTGTCAGTCACTCAGTCTTGATTTTTTTTGTACAACAATTTCAGCTCCTGTTTTACTGTACTGCAGTACTACATACATTTTATTCTGAAGGGCAAGGGCTTACCTATTCTAGTGCTTGTATTTTTTTTCTTTCAATACTGTATCTGTTTTCAAAGTATTTGATTTATATCTAAATTTTGTCAAGTAGTGATTTTATTTTGGCGGTCAATATTCAGTTATATGTATTTGAATCACTTACCTACTTTCAGGTGTTTGAAGACGATTAATAGCAAAAAATATGGGGTTGAGCTTGTGTGCTTCACTGAAAACCCAACTTATGTCTTGCATTCTTCAAAAAATGGATGGGATGGTAAGTCCTATATTGTCATAGCTTCAGAGTGATATAAGTCATGTATACAAATACTTAAAATAATTAACTGTGCAGATTCTCTCCGTCTACTCTCACTGGTCAATAACTGTTTTTTGAGATATTTCAAAGGCCATCTAGACAGGTTTGCCAAACTTTATAATAAATATAAATTCCAATAAAATATGTCGGTTAGCCAATACCAACAGAGGATACTATCTGTCTTAATCAGGGTTGTTTCTATCTCATTGTGCTCTGAGAACGGGAACATTCTCTCTGGTTCACTTGATCGAACAGTTCTCCTATGGGATTCAAGGGTTGAAAAAGCACAGGTACATTTCTCCTCAATAAGTTTACTGTTTGACTGCTTGACTACTTTCCCGTCAATTTGGCAACCTGCAGTTTACAGTCAATTAAGGCTTTTACAGATTTAGTTTATCTTATTTCTGATTATCGGTTAAAAAGACTTCTTATTGTCCTCCATCAGTCCATCTGATGGTGAAATATCATTCTGAAGCCCAGATGTATGATTTTTGCAACTAAATACTTACAAGCCCCTTTAATTACGTACATCATCTTTTTTTCTGAAAACGGAAATTGGGTTCCTCACAATCCTAAACAAGTCATATATGTATGCATCCATTTTATTTCTCTGAGGTTCTGTACCTTTATTGAGCATTGGGCATGTTACAGTAGAAATGTTGATGGTATGGTTGGGGAGTGTTTACTAGCAAAAGCATCTCTTGGATTTTGTAGGGTTTGCTGCGTGTTCAGGGGAGGCCTGCAGTTTCTTATGATGATCAGGGTTTGGTTTTTGCAATTGCATATGGTGGCTACATAAGGATGTTTGATGCTCGAAATTTTGAGAAGGTAATGGGAATGAGTATGTTGTTTGATCTTAATTACCCAACCCATTTAACTTCTTACATCCACAGGGGCCTTTTGATATTTTCTCTGTCGGTAATGATGATTCAGAAGCCAATGTCATAAAGTTCAGCAGTGATGGCAGGCGGCTTCTTTTAACCACCAAAGCTGGGCGTGTTCATGTGCTAGATTCATTTCATGGCAATAATGTAAGCATGCAAACTATCTTTGGTAATTTATATTTTGCAGACTTGTTATGTGGAGACTTTGACCTTTTCCTTTTTCAGATAGCAACATACAACGTGAAGCCAGTGGTAAGCAATTCGACGCTGGAAGCATCATTCAGCCCTGATGGAAACCATATAATATCTGGTGACCCACTTTTCTCTAACATCCTTTGTGATTATTTGGCACATCCTCTTTCATTACCTAATATTTATTTTTCATGCAGGCTCTGGTGATGGCAGTGTATATGCTTGGAATGTTAGGAGTGGAAAGGTATGTCAAATATAGTTTTTGTACTCCCTTTGTCCCAAAATATAGCTACTGCACTTCTCCATGTATAACCGGAAGTAGCTATATTTTAGGACGGAGATCGTAGTTGTTTGAAAGAGATGATAATATGGTCGGACATGCAGGTTGCTCGCTGGGGAAGCACAGATAGTGAGCCACCGCTAATTAGATGGGCTCCAGGATCTTTGATGTTCTTGACTGCATCTTCGGAACTGTCTTGTTGGGTCCCTGATCTATCTAAGCTGGGATCCTTTACTGTTAGTAAGTAATTCGAATGGTACGAGTTGTTGTTTGTGTATGCTCAGGCCTTTGTTCTAGCTGTTTGCAAAATGACAATGTTAGGTAAAAATCTGAGCTGCAGTGGGTCAAGCCTCGGGTCAACCTAGTCCGGGCCATCTGCATATCTTGATCTTGCCAAATTTTGGCTTTACCTACAAATGGTAAGGGTTTTTTTGGCAATAAACGAAAAAAGCCCATAGTTGTCGTGTCGTTGGGTGATCACGGGTTGGCAAGGCCGAGGAGGGAATGAGCTATATCCCTGTTATGTTAGGCCGTTCACAGTGCGTCTACGTGGTGTGTGGCTCTAGCCCGCCACATAGGACGCCTCTTGCCGTGGAAGAGAGAGTTGGGTGGGGACCATGTCTTCACTTGGAAGATCGGTCTTACTTGTGAGTTACAAGTTCAAAAACCCTTCTCTCTCTTCACCTGAGCTTAGTAGCGGTCCCACTCGAGCTCAAAAGCCCTTCTCTCTCTCTCTCCACCCGAGCTTGGCAGCAACAAGCCAACAACGATGGAGGCATGGCGGCAGCAGTAGAGAGGTGACAGGAGTGAGGTTGTCGACGAAGGCGATGGCCGACAACGATGCACTATGCTCGATCGGCACTTGTTGGCAAGGGATAAGAGAGGCCAAATCCGACCATGGCTATTGAGCTTGAGGCCAGATCAGGCCATGACATCAGGCGGCGGTGCTGGATACGGTTTCCTTGTGGTCTCGAGCGGCGTCCGAAAGTGGAGGGGCATGATGGGGAGAGGCCGCCGCGGACATAGTTCGTTGCTGAGGTGGGGAAGTTGGGAGACACCGGAGGTAGTGGCCGTCGCGATATTGTTCTTGTCACCGGGGATGAGAGAGGTGCTAGCGGTGGCAGAGCTCATCGCTAGGGTGGAGAGGTCGCCGGTGCAAAGTTCGTTGCCCAGGTAGGGTAACTGGGGAGAGCGCGTTGGCGGCGGAGTTTGTTGCCAATGAACTTGTCGAGATGGTGTGCGTGAGAAGGGGAGAGGGTTGTGGGGGTGGACCCGGTGATAGTGGTGATTTATATTCTTTTCTCAATTTTAGGGGGGTTAGTGTAAAATTTACACTTCTTTGTAAATTGAGAAAAATATGAGGGTTGAAATCAAAAGTGGTAGGGCCTAAAGCGAAAAATTAAATTCACTCATGAGGCCATTTGCACTGTGTGGAAACTAATTTTGGACCCATGTCTAAAGCCTATGTGGCTTTTTTAGGTTCCTCGTACGTGCAGCTTGCGTTGCTACTGCCCTTATTGCACCAACCCTAGCTCTGTCGCTAGTACGTCCACAGCCAGAACAAACCTCAACCTGTCACCCGTGGCCTACGCAGTATAGACGGGCCTGCGTTGGTGAGCCACCTAGCCACCCCGCCCACTAATCCATTCGACCAAATTTTGGTTTGTTACCGTTCCTAATTTTTCATGGGTGGAAGATTTTAAAAGTATCAAACTTCGATAGTGTAGGCTACCATAAAATTGACAAAATCACCGAGGACACCTCACTATCGACGAATATGTTCCGTGCCACTGAAAAAATAATTAGCCATAATACAGAGCGTCCATGTCAAACTTGAAACTTGAACTCGAGTGAGCTTGTTACAACATAAGAAACCTTATCGGTTAAGTTATACTCACTTCACAAGGCTTTTGTTTTTTAAACAAAAGAGAAGTGGATTATTCGTGCCACGCTTTTAAAAATATAATTTCTCAAAAAAGAATGAATTTCACACAATTATAGATATATCCCAAAACTACAGATTTAATATCAAATTTGTTACAAAATTATAAATTTTGGATAGAGTATTGCAAAACTACATATTTAGTAACAAAGTTATTACAAAACTATAGATTTAACATTAATTTAATCACAAATCTTAAACGTATATAACTCAAACATAATATTAATATTATTGGTAAAGATTAAACCCCAAAAGGCCAAAAGGATAGTTTCGGGGTAATTTTATTGTTTAAATATGTAGATTTATGATACTTAGTTTTAAATCTATAGCTTTGTGATACATCACCTTAAATGTATAGTTTTATGATAATTTGGTGAAATTATCTGTATTTTCTTGAAATTTACTTTAAAAAACATATTGGTTGTTGCTTCGATAATGTCACGCCCCGAACTAGTACCGACCGGAACTAGCCCGTGACGCTCCAAATTAACATGTTAATCGATACCAGTCCCAGGAAACAGTGCTGGTATCACAGGAAGACAGATTATCACAGCAACAGAGGTCTCTTTATTATAGAGTAGAGGTACAGTCATGTTGGGCTGCGGACAGACCCCGAGCTCACAACTGCATTACAAAAGGAAAGTGGAAGCCAGGACTAGGACCAAACATCACAGGCGCGACTTGGGAACTAGGCCGAAACCCTAAAACTCATCGTAGCCGGCTTGCTCCTGGAAGAATTCCTCATCAGCAGGATCCGCTTCATCTTCTTCAGCAACTGGGGGGGGGATTATTTATATAGAGCAAGGGTGAGTACGGGAGTACTCAGCAAGCCATGGGAAATAAGTGTTTAATGCAGGCTTCAAGGGGAGGCTGTTGTTTTTGCAATTGATTTTATTTGAACTCTTTTCTAAAAACGACTAAGTGAGTGCTTCTCAAACGACACGGATGAGACAGTGCGTCTCGTCCGGTCGGAGTATGTGCAATGTATCAGTCTTTAGAATTGAAACAAGGTTGGCACCCGGCCAACAGCTTTTCAAACGGCCACCCGGGCCAACAACTTTCAAACGGCCACCCGGGCCTAGCTGATTCCATCAGCTACGGATTTTTCAAACATCGAACCCCTTTCCACAACAGCAATTTCACAAGCAGTAGTCAAACAAAACTACGCTAGGAATCACCTCACATCCACCCATGACCGTGGGCACGGCTGTTCGAACAGTTTGTTAACCTCTGTAGAGGGGGTACACTTTACCCACACGACATTACTAACTCGGATCACCCAGCCCGTGGGGATCAGCCACGTCAGGAGACCTCCAAGCTTTCATGACAAGGCATTTTGAAAGCCGACACAGGTTTACCATATGCCAACGAGAGGGGTCCCAGACCAACAACAGGTTAGGTCCCAGACCATACTGTGCCAGGAAGCCCAGGGGTCCTCCCCGACACCACCCCGGCGAATCCACATGTCTCTCGGCATCAAGGCTCCCCTGATAAGCTAGTTACTCAGCCAGGGGTGTCCCATTCCACCCATGTGGTCGTACTTGTCTTATGTTCGGATGAAATTCCAAGGAAACGGTCCTTAGGTGCAAGAGCGGGAAATCGTACACCCGGTACGTTCCCCGGTCCGCGGTTTTGGAAATTCATTTAGTTCGCAAGCACCGACCCAGGTGTCGGGTTTTCCAAGTCTTTTGTAAAACCCAAGTTTTACCCAAGTTGTTACTCAAAATTTTAAGTTTGAAGGCGTCCGTCGATACTCGCGCAGGGTGCACGAATATCGAGACGCAACTAGATGGTTACAAGGGGACATGGTATCACAATTAACAAAGGAAGGATCAAATGCAACAAATTAGGTAGGTCCGCCAATCTGCCTTGCAGACGGGACAAGCAGAGTAAGTGAGAGAGAGGGCCGGTGGACCGGGCTCACCTCGCGCGGTCCCGGGTGGGACCCGCTTGTCGGTGACACGGTTCACCGTGCGGAGCGAGCACGCGGCGCACGCGCACGGGCGGGGGAGGGACGCGGTGTACGCGCGCGGTTCGCGGTGGACGCGGATGCGGCGGGACCACGCGCAGCCTCACGGCTCGCGGTGGAACACGCGCACGGGGAGGGACTGACCGGGGTCGGCTCGACCCGGTCTTGGCCGAGCTGGCGCCGACGTGGCGCCTACGTAGCTGCCACGCGGGCCGGCGGGAGGTAGACGACGACGCCGGCCGGAACGGACGGCGGACGACAGCGGCGAGCGGCGGAGCGAACCACGGCGATACAGGCGAAGGCGAGCACACCGGGTGGTTGCACGAGACGAGGGGAGACGAGCCAACGGCTCGGATTCGCCGGAGGGAGCTTGACGGCGGCGAATTGCGGCGGCGGCAACCGGCGGCGGGAGAAGGGGGAAACGGCGACGAGGTCACGCGAGCCTTGCAGACGGGACAAGCAGAGTAAGTGCAGTCCTATCAATGCATAATATTTTTCAAGCAACATAATTAAGTTCAAATATAGGCTCAAGATGTTCAAAGGTGGCTTGCCTTGCTCGAGATCTTGAGCTTGATCCTCGAAATCCTCGCACTGCGGGTCTTCGGGCTCCGAAACTACACGCGAAACGGGACAACTCAACAAACGGCGAAAATAAAGCCCTATTAATGACCTCTAAGCGTGCCATTAGATAGATCTCGAGATTTGAGGAATTTTGGAAGTTGAACGGAGTCAAACGGATTTGCGGTTGGGAAGATATTGAATTTCTAAGATTATTGGATTTTTGGTCTAAAGGAAAAGGATTGAATTAAATCCTTTTTGAAAAATAAAAGAAAAGAAAGAAAAGAGGGAGGGGAAATAGACTTTTCCTCGGGCGGCTAGGGCGCGGCCCGAGAGAAACGGAGCGTTCCGGCCGAGCTAAATGGGCCGGCCGGCCCAAGGCGGCCCAAGCGTGCGCGCGCGGGAGGGGAGGAGAGAGAGGGCCGGTGGACCGGGCTCACCTCGCGCGGTCCCGGGTGGGACCCGCTTGTCGGTGACACGGTTCACCGTGCGGAGCGAGCACGCGGCGCACGCGCACGGGCGGGGGAGGGACGCGGTGTACGCGCGCGGTTCGCGGTGGACGCGGATGCGGCGGGCCCACGCGCAGCCTCACGGCTCGCGGTGGAACACGCGCACGGGGAGGGACTGACCGGGGTCGGCTCGACCCGGTCTTGGCCGAGCTGGCGCCGACGTGGCGCCTACGTGGCTGCCACGCGGGCCGGCGGGAGGTAGACGACGACGCCGGCCGGAATGGACGGCGGACGACAGCGGCGAGCGGCGGAGCGAACCACGGCGATACAGGCGAAGGCGAGCACACCGGGTGGTTGCACGAGACGAGGGGAGACGAGCCAACGGCTCGGATTCGCCGGAGGGAGCTTGACGGCGGCGAATTGCGGCGGCGGCAACCGGCGGCGGGAGAAGGGGGAAACGGCGACGAGGTCACGAGGGGCCGATTCCCGGCGGCGAGAGCATCTACGCGGCTACGGGAATTCGATGCTAGCGTTGGATTGGGCGAAAACGCATCGAGGGAGGCCGGCGACGAGAGGCGCTTCCGAGCTCGGGCGGCGACGGCGGCGAGCACACGGCGAGCGACGGCAGCAGTCGGGGCGGCGCCGGCTAGCTACGGGGAGGCTACTTGTGCTACTACCCGAGTCTAAGGGGAGGAGATGGAACGAGGAGGAAGAACGGAGGGAGGCACTACCGAGATGAGGTGGGGCGCTGTGACGAGAGGCCGACGGCGCGGGAGTAATCTCTCCGGCCTCGGGCCGGGGAAGAGGAAGGAGAGGGCGCGCCCGGAGTCCCCTTCCGCGTCCTTGCTCGTGCCGGCTCGTCCGACACGCGCAACGACGAACGGCGACGGCGAACAGAGCACGGGGGGCGGCGGCAATGGCGTGGAGGCGAAAAACAGGGAAGATTGGGAGGGGAAAAGAGGAAGGGAGGGCGCCTGGGTTTAAAGGGGGCGGCAATGTCGGTTTGGAAACCGACTTTGGGCGGTCAAGGCGCGAGCTGGCGCTCGGCGCTTGCGGCCAAAACGGCGACAGAGGCGGATGACGCCGGCGGGGAAGAGGAAAGGGAAAAAGAGGGAGAGAAAGGGGGCTCGCCTCCTTGCCGCTTTGGGGAAAAGGAGGAGGGGAGCGGGGGCGTCGCGGCAGAGGGAGGAGGGGCTCTGCCTCCGTCCCTTGGCGGCTTGCGCTCGGAGTGGCGGGGCCGAGGCGATGACGACGGCGATGACGGTGGGGCGGTTTGGAGCGGAGCGGCGACACGGGCGACAGGCGTGGGCAGGCGCTGACGACGGCGGCGACCAGGCGGTCGGCCACCACGGCACGCGCGCGCGGGATGCAACGGGAGGCGCGGCGGTTTGAGTGGCGCGGCTCGGGCACGCGCGCTGGCTGCGGGGCCGAGCGGCTGCGCGGCTGCAGGCGGCAGGGCAGCGGGACCGGGTGACGCGGACGGCGCAGACGGCGCGGCACGGGCGGCAACCCCGCGGGCGCGCGCGCGAACTACGGCGCGCGGGGGCCGGCTTCGCGGGCGGGGAGCTCGCCAGGGATGGGGAGAAGGAGAGCGAGGAGGGGAGGAGGGGCGCTCGGCGCGGTGCTCGCGCGCACGCGCGCGCGGCGCGCGGGCGGAGCGGAGGGGGAGAGAGAGAGAGGGAGAGCGCCGGGGGAGGGAGGGGGAGATGGGCCGAGAGAAAATTCAGCCCATCGACCCCGGGGGAGGCAAAATAGACTTTTGCGGAGGGATTTGATTTGGAAGGTTTTGGATTCGGAATTGAACTCGACGATAGATCGGGGATTTGAGATCTTGAGATGGCATGGACACTAGACAACAAGCAAAGAAATAAATTTCGCAATTAGGGTTTTTAAGAGATAATTTTCCCGCTAGGCGCCACGACGGAACGGGCGCTACAGATAACTTCTTTCTAAGCTATCTAACTTCATAATCTATAATATTTGATCAGTCCGTGTACTGATTTATGGCCTAATCAATTGTTTTGAGTAGCTAGGGATGCAAGCGAGCAGCACATTATCCCACATCAAAAACCCTGCATGCTAGTTTATTTTCTACTCCGTACTAAAACAAGGAAAAACTTGTACGGTGTATATGCAAATCGCAACCCTGTCTCACTTGCATCCGTTTTGAATGTGGGAAGCGTATTTTGCCATAGCATGGGTGGATCCACCTCCAGCCATGGTGGAGCCAGAATTTTTTCCAACCGTAGGGCACAATTTTATCTTTGTTATCTTTTTGTTTTTGAAGCTTTGAAATGCATTTTCAATGGCTATTTAAGCTAAGGAGTAGGGATGCAGCCCAAGTTGCCTTGTCACCCGGCAAACCATGAAAACCACGCAATGAATTTGAATGTTTTTTGATGATTTAAAAGCACAAAGTTTATAGCAAAAACATGATATAATAATATTTATTTAGGTTATATTCCCTCCATTTCAAAATATAGCAACCTACCATTCCACATTAGAAGCCTCATTGTTTTGTTTATGTTTATACTTATAAGTCAAAATTTAAAATTTAGAACTTAATTTTAATTTTTTAAAGAAGTTTATTTTACAATATTTGTTTTTAGTCACTAAGAACACGCATAGAAAATATGTACTTATAAATTATTTTTTTACTAATAAACAATGAGGCTATAGACTGAGGGAGTAACGTTTTATTAAGATCGATGATTGTGCCATGACATAGCTTCAACATGGTGTTGGAAATGGACCGACCCTGCTAGGTTGCTGCAGAAATACTCCATGCTACAGAAAGCTGGATTAGAAATCACTCGCTTAAGTCAACTCAACCTGCCACAGATTGGCCGTTGCTCTTCGGTGTAACAGCCGACGGCCCCTACGCAAGTAACAGCACGATGCTCATAGAGCACGTGTTGGTGTCCAAAGCCCAAACAACCCGGTACTTTTTTACCTCCACACTGGCTTGTCACACCACAGGCTAACACAGGCTATCGATTATGCCAGCGAAAAGACGGGCACGTCCTACACTGCACAGCCACAGCGATGAAGCGTGGTGACTACTGGTGAATCGTACAGCAAACATTCAGTTCTGTTTGCAGTAAAACATCCACGCTCTTTAATTAGCACGAGATTTTAAGTCTAGAGTGTCTACCATTTCACCGTCAAGGCAACCCTCAGATCCTCTGTTAGTGAATGTTGTTTTCAGGACGCAGCTGCCAGCAACAGTTTTTGACCCTTTTTTTTCATTTTCTGTTGCTGTGTCATGTACTGATACTGAAAGTACTACCAGGTTGGCTATGGGGACGACGAGATCCAAACATTTCGTGACAGTACATAACCTTGTGTGCAGTTGAGAGGCATGCAATGTAACCCTGGAAGCAATGCCTGTCGGCCGGTCCTACTTGTACGTAATCCTGCACAATTGGATTAGGCTAGTATAGATTGGATTGATTAGTTTTGTGTAGTAGTGGAGTAGTAACACTTTTAGTGGCCTCGGGAATTGTGCAAACAAAACACCGGTGCAGCCTTTCTCGCGTAGCAGCCATGATTAACTTCTTTGTTTAAGCAGCGGGGTGCAGTGCACATCATACGTCTCCCATTCCCAGAGACATGCACGCCAATGCTTTCCAAACTTTCTCCTACACAAAAATTCTTTTACAGCAACTAGTAATCTAGTGTAGGCGTAGCTTTCTTACTTTAATTTTTTCTCTTTAACCTCTATGTACACTGACCTCACTCACCTCACGCTCTACTGATTTGATTACCGTGCATTTCACTCGATTGCTCTATCCCATAATGTACTCCCTCCGTTCCAATATATTAAAACATAGAATCGGATGGGACATTTCCTAGTACTACGAATCTAGACAGTCCGTAGTACTAGGAAATGTCTCATCCGATCCTAGGTTTTAATATATTAGGAAGCCTGTCCAGATTTGTAGTATTAGAAAATATCTCATCCGATCCTAGGTCTTAATATATTGGGACGGAGGGAGTATGCCTTTTCACTGGCCCGGCAAAGTGGCAAACGAAAAGGCATCAGGTGAGAAACGACGTGCACATTTGGGCATCTCTCTTTCCACTAAAGTTTGGATCCGGCAAGCAAGCCATGAGATCGACCACCAAGCTGTAGTATGTGGCAACAACAACCTTTTTTTTTCAGAAAGTAGCGACCCAAAATGCCGTGCAAAAGGATATGAGATTAGGTGAGGTTGGATGAGCTAATCCTAATCGTCGAAAGAAAAGCTCACGAACCGCTCCAAGAATCGCTCACGCTCACCTCACCTAATCTCGATCTACGCAGGAAAAAGGAACAAAAAAAACCACAAGTATCTGAAGAGTGAATACGCAGTGCAGCACGAACCAACCGGCGAGACAATGCATGCGTTGCACATGAGCTCCAGCCAGCCAGCTACAGTGGCCTTTTTCTCGTTTTGTTTTTTCGCGTTCCAGGTGAGATTTTGGGAAAGGGATGGACGCCGTGTGTACGTCGCCGTCGGGAGAGCGGATTCTGCTGCACCGCACCGACCCGCGGGCGGTCGCCGTCGGCACGCAAATTCCGGCGACGCGCGGTGGAACCACGCGTTCGGTTCGGCTGCTCGCTGCTGCCGTGTGCTCGGTGGTAGGCGGCAACACCACGTAATTGTACGTTACGCTGTGCACGCGTGGCTGTCCCCGTCTCCACTCGCGATAGGAATGCAAGCGGATCAACCTATGAGAACTCGCTTACATGTAAAATAAATAGGTAATTAGCAGATTGATTCATAAGTTACCTATCAATTTAATCTGTAAATAGGTTTATGAATCGTCTCACATGTATCTATAGATACGATAAATCTAACCATAACATAAAAAATTATTATGAGTTATTACTTGATATAAGTAGTGGGTTCGTAAATTGGTTATTTGAGGAGGACAAGAACCCGAACCCGAACCCGACGCGGTTATTTCGCTTCGACGTGACACCAGTGGTATCTCGCGCCGTATAGACAATTCGACAAGCGTCAACACGCGAACGGTGATGACTGATGAGATAATGTGTAAGGTTCTAGAAACAAAAAAGAAAAGTAAACGACATCTGAAACAAGAATATATACTGCGACCTCTGCAGGTGTCATCGCGACAATTCCGAAGGTAATTAATATACGGATTAAGGGTAATCTGTACAAAACAAGTTGAAAGAAAACTTATGTCTTAAGGACTGCGGCCGGTTAATCAGAGGAATGAAATTCTAATGATCGAAATTTAAGAACTAAAATGATGATGTTACCTTGATCACAGAGTAACTCGGAGAAAAAAAAATTACACGATCTTTTACGCGAAAGATTTACTACTTCTTGGTGATGGTTAGTTCCTCGAACCAGTCCAGGATCCTGCTGCGACGAACACTCTGAGCTTTCTTGTCGCCGGCCTTGTTCTTGTTCTTGGCCTTGGCCCTCTTCGCCGCCGCCGGCAAGGTGACTGGCTCCACCACGTCGGGGGAGCACTTGCACCCGAAGCTGTCGCCGAAGAGACCCACCACCGGATGCTTCTTGTCGGCGGCGGTGCTCGCCGGCTCGAACCGTGCGCTCCTGCTGCTGCCGACTTTTGCTGCGGCGGCGGCGTTCTTGGAATCTGTGGAGCGTGGAGGGTACACGTCCGGGGCGCCGACGACGCCGAGGCGGAAGATGCCCCACGCGGTGGCCGGCGGCGGCGGGGGAGCCGACCCGGTGCTGCGGCGCGGCGGCCGGGTGCGCAGCTGCGGCGACGGGCTCGGGTGCGCGTAGAACAGGCTGCTCGACAGAGACCGCCGCGGCTGCTGCTGCTGCTGCGGCGGCGGATGCGCGGCGGAGTGGTCGGAGGAGGCGCTCTTGGACGACTCGCTCCGGCTGACGCAGCCGCTGCTGCTGCCGCTGGAGCTCGCGCTCCGGCTGTCGGACCGCGAGCCGAACCCCACGGTGGACGCCACCGACTCCGACCGCGGCAGAACACCAAGCCCGGCCGCATCGCCAGCCGCCGCCGACGAGAGCCTTAGAGGCAGCAGCTTCCCCTGGGAGAACACCTCGTCGGCCACGCACATGTCGGCCGCCGCGGCGCCGGCGCCGGCAGAGACGAGCCCACCGGACGACAGTACACAGAACTCAAAATCGTCGCCCGTGTCCTTCGCAACAGAGCCACCGCCGGCGGCGGCGTCGGCAGCGCCGGCCATGGCTTGATGCTTCTCTTGGTCCATGGAGTGATGGAGAGAGAGAAGGGAGAAGAAGAAATCAAGAAATGGTCAGATTTTTTTTCCCTTTGGTCTTCTTTTTGGCTGTTCGGTTTTAAAACTCGGAAGACACGCAGGGGATTTTGTGGTGGCTGCGCCGCTGGGCCCACACTGATGAGGTGGTCTACTCCGGTCAATTTTATGTTGTTGGGGCCCTAAGAAAATGTCAGTACATTAGTACACTTGGTAGCCATCATTGGTCAATGTTGGTACAAACATGGAAGGATATCATCTGGATTGGAAGCTACTAATGCTTGTCTCATTAGCTCAAATCCAAGTCAAAGGTCTTCATTATTGTCGGTTATCGCGGTAACCGGACTTATCAACGGGATACGGTAACGGAAACCGTGTAACGTATGGACCAAGTTTAGAATCATGCTAGTAAAGTTTGCATGGAATTCACAAGCTTATATAAGCACATAGATTCTTAAAAAGCATAATTGCGTAATAAGAGAGAGTCTAAATCAAGGTCTCCCTTAACATCAGTTACCGCGGTAACCAGGCTTATCAATGAGGTGCGATAACGGTAACCGCCTATCCAAGTTTAGAATCATGCTAGTAGAGTTTGCATGAAATTCATTAACTTACATAGCAAACCGATTCTTAAAAAAACACAATTCCATAACCAGAGTGATAGTTGAAACAAGGTCTCCCTAAAGGTCAGTTATCACGGTAACGGGCTTATCAACAGGATGTGGTAACGGAAACCACCCACCCAAGTTTAGAATCAAGCCAGTAGAGTTTATATGAGCAAACAGATTCTTAAAAAAAACATTACTCCTATCTCATAACAGAGAGATAGAGAGCTTAATTTATGTGAAAAAATGCATAGAATTTTCATGTGAAATTGTTTGATTTATAGAGGAAAAACAAGGTCATATATTTTGGTCAGAAATTTTTCCAAGAGAACGTACATTTCGCTAGAAACAACATTTATTGTAGAGATGGCATTTCACTCTTCACTACCATAACTACCATGATCCTGCCTGATTACACCCATCCCCATTTAAAATTCAGAAGATTCGTCCACTGGTCATATTAAAATGCTCCTGCAATCCAACAACAGAACAAGTCCTTTCCTCCATACCTAAACCAATCAGCCCAAAAATGAAAATGTTGTCCTGCTTGCTCTGACCCTTCCATCTGGCCTCAACACGCAATTCCATCTTCGTTTCCTCCGAATCAACAACAGCAACAATTCAGAATAACCCATGACGCATCTCGCATCTCTTTGTCCTGGCACAACAACGAATACGTTTCACCGTCCCAGTCCAAGCCCATTGCGTCAGAACTCAGTAAAAATTTCACGACCAGAGCTTACCAATTGCGCCCTGTATCGGCGTAATTTACTCGAGTAAATGAGCCATGATTACGTACAAAACCTCAAATCTGTTGCATAACTGCGCCGAATCAAACGCATCGACATCACGGTGACGCGATTCGCGGTGACGAAATCAGGGAAAATCTGTCGTTTTAGTATATTTTTACCGTCGTCTGAACGGCACCTCTGCAACTGTCCCAGGAAAAAGGGGGAAGCCGGTCAGCGTTAACGTCACCTAATTATGCCGCGAAGAGACCTGCAGGAAAGGGATTAATCCTAGCAAATCACGATCGTTGCGGATTAGTTGATGGTTAGGAGTTGCAAATCACTTCATTAATTGGGCATCCAGCAGCTGCAGTTTCAGCTCAAGCTCCTTTGCGCCCGTGACCTCATAATCGAGAGCTCGGCTCTTTAGCTGTATTCATGTCGTCCTTTGACTGCTCTTGTTGCAGCTGCTGCAATAGCAGTTACCTGGTCTGGTGACTGGTGAGATGCAGTGCAAAAAGTGTGCAGTTTCACTGTTTCACAAGCTCAGTTCATTGCATTGCAGTTGCAGGCGGCTGTACTGTACCAACTGCCAACTACTTCTACTACTCCTACCGTCCTACGGTCCTACTGCCAACGAAGGATCCAGTTTGTTTTGTTGCTAGTTTTTGCTGTATTGCTCAGGGAATGCATCAGGAATAAGCCTTATGAATTTTTGATTGGGCAGATTCTGAGCCCATAAGCAGTGCCAATCATGGGCCATTAAAATCAAACAAGGTTCAAAGTGAGGCCCATTTGAAGCAAACAATTGCATACCGAATAAAGTCTAATTTAACACCCTCAAAAATATAGGTTGGATATGATTTTTATTTTTTTATCCCTCAACTACAAAACCGCTTCCTCAGTGGGAAGCAGTGTTGAGCGGACCTGCGCCGGCTTGCCTACTGTAGTTCTTGCACCTGTCCGTGCGAAACAGCGAAGAAAGAATGAGTGGGTGTTGAGTGCTAACATGTGGCAATGTGGACCCCATAATTTTCATATTTCTTTCACTCACCACTTACATGTGGGGCTCATGTCTATTTTTTATTTCTCCGATGATTGGGATACTATGTGGACGTCACGTTCAAAATAGTTGAGAGAGTCATTTTGCACGGTTTTAATAGTTGGAAAAATCGATATAACCAGGTTTGTGGTTGAAAGATATGAATTAGATCTGACATTTACAAAGGGAACTAAATTAGACTTTTTCGATTTCATGTTGGGTTTGTGAAACTGGGCTGGGAACATGTCAACCCATATCAGAGGTAGCAATTATTCTGGTTTGGGGGAGATGGTTGGCGGCTGAGAATGACGGAAGCCCGAATGAGCAATATGGACATATGACGTCAAAACTCAATCTAGTAAGTAGTGCTCCCTCCGTATTTTAATGTATGACACCGTTGACTTTTCGACCAACGTTTGATCATTCGTTTTATTTAAAAATTTTGTGTAAATATGAAAATATTTATGTCATGCTTAAAGAACATTTGATGATGAATCAAGTCACAATAAAATAAATAATAATTACATAAATTTTTTGAATAAGACGAATGGTTAAACATTGGGTAAAAAATTAACGAGAACTCAAGGACGAAACGTTTCATCAATGGCGAATGTGCTTAGTCTCGACGTCGCTAATTTCTTCTGGTAAAAACTTTCAAGGTTTGACTGGTTTGGACAAAGCATTTTAGAAATATGTCATGACTCATATAGTCATATATATGGATCCAATCATCCAAAGTTGGTGCTTGAAATTGTTGGTCTACGTGAGTCCTCATGACATAGACATACGGTGCATGTGTCCCGCTTACCGCATATACCTCCATTAGCTTTAAATCGGAGCCGCTTCAATACTTACCAATAAGTTCTACTGCACATGGTGAGTTTTCTCTGTGATAATCCAAACACCCGCAAGCAAGAACACATATCAGTACAACCTCTATCCTACAAAGACTTTATTTTATACTGACTTGGCCTCTCACATCGCCCCCCGTGTAGACAACCGCACCGGGGAAGGGGGGGGGGGGGCTTCAACCCTAGTCGTCATCACCACCACCCTCCCTCCTCCGTCTCGATGCCACCAGAAACCACGCACGGAACGATACGGTGGCAACATATCCCGTTTGCCTCCTAGCTCCGCCATGGAGATTAGGTGGCAGTGACGATGACAAGCGGCGTGGTGGCTTCACTATTGAACTCGACGACTAGATCTGGTGCTTTTTGAGAGCTGAGGTGTACTGGGTCGATGGCTGGGGCGGAGGTGGCGCAAGGTGGCCGACAATGACAACAATAGTAGGTTGCCATATCCGATATCAATGTGGCTAGATCTGACACCCCGATAGTGGATTCCACAGAGGTTGAGGAGAGCAAACTACAACATAACAACGAGAGCTTGGATGCGTCGTGACTCGGCTTGGTCCATATGGAGGCGAGGCGGCAAGATGCGGCTATAGAGGAGGGGGTGCAGCCTGAAAGATCTATTCCCTAGAATTGCCTTTGTAAGAGGAGATTGGAAGATCTATTACCCTAAGAGTGTGGTGATTATTTTGGTGATTTATGACAACACATGTTGGAAGATATTAGGTTGAGTTCCGACATCAAGCTGAAAGATTGAAGGTAGAAGATGGACATTACAGCTTGATGAGGAGCAAGTAAAGATATTGACGATACGGGGACACGGGGTATGAGTGGCTATATATGGCAAGATCGTGAAGGGCAATCAAGACTCGGCTACAATGGATCATGAGGAGGTGAAGGGAAAGCAAGAGGCTTGGCGCCGATGGACTCAATCTGGTGGTGAAGGGCGAGCAAAGACTTTGTCACGATGGATCGTGCGAGGCCATTTGAAGCCATGAGTAATCCACATCAATTATTTGAAGAGCGCAAGATGGAATGCCGAAGATCAATAGGATGTAATTCGTTGATGAACATCAAGCCAAAAGCCAAAGTGGTCATTGATCAAGACAAATATATAGTCAATTTTGGATTAATGTGCTTAATGAGTTATAGGTGAGAATAGTCCTAGTAGTGAGATGGCGTTGGTGTTGGCAACTGTCAAGGTAAAGCAAGAAGATGACAAGAAAACATTCCTAGTGGTATAGATTTCCTATTTGCATTTGAGTATACGAATTCCGTACTATTAAGAGTGATGCATTGTTGATGTGTTTGTTTATCTCTCGGTACTCAAAGTGACCCATGCAAGTGTTACCTTGAGAGAAACCAGAGCCTTAAACTAACCTATGAGTGGTTCAGAGCTTGGTTGGGTTGGATAACTGTCAGGGTTACGGGTAAGGTATACCCTCTACCCTTCGATATACGTCACATATCGATATGGTATACTTGCGCGTATAAGGACGTTTTCAGCATACGTTAAGGAAATTCATCATGGAGTTCACAGATGGAAGGAGTCCTACTCGGACAGAACTGGGTCGTCATTGTATCGTGCCGGGTCCGATGTCTCCGAGTCCTACTTGGAGACTAGTTGACCTGCGATATAAAAGGGACCCCTCGGGAGGACCTAAGGCATCGAATCTCATAGTCAGCACATCCACCACATCCTACGGAGTTGAAGCCTACAGGAGCCAAGTCGCCAGGAGATCTAATCGAACCTGTTCGATTACGATCTCATCGGTATCATCGAGTTCTGCTTTTCTCTCTGTAATCTGTGGTTTCCATCATATAATCCCATATCAACTGGATTAGGGCTATTACCTATCAAGGGGCCTGAACCAGTATAATCTTTGTTTTTTGTCTGCTTGATGTCGTATTACGTAGATCCTCGTACCAGCGTACCCCAGTACCCTCTATATCCGGTCTACGGGTATCCCCCGTCGATAGTGGCACGCCAGGTAGGGGGACTTGGTGCTCAAGGTTCTACTACTATGTCATCCAGCTTCGTCGACAACAGCGTCAACACCAACCTCAACAAAGGAGTTCCTGCTTCAACAATGCTGGTGTGGACTCAAGTCGGCGAAATCGTCTTCCCGGTTTACACCACGGTGCCGATCTCGTCTG